CTACTGAAGAAGGACGCGGCGGACGCCATCTTCCTACAGGAAACACATCAAAATAAGCGGGGCTCAAATGAGTTAAAGTCGAGCTGGATAAGGAACTACGAAACATCTTTTGGGACATCAAAGTCAAGAGGAGTAGCAATAATAATAGCAAAGAAATGTAATTTTGTCATAAACAAGGTATTGAAGGATGAAGAGGGAAGATATATAATAATATATGGGGAAATAGGGGAGGAAAAATATGTATTAGTAAATGTATACGCACCAAATGTGAAACAGCAAGAATTTTATGAAAAAGTGTTAGAGCAAATAGAGAATTACCATCAACAAAATGTAATATTTGGAGGAGATTGTAATTGCTGTATGGATTTAAAGAAGGATAAAACTACGATAGCATCAAAAGCTAGAAACATTGAAACAACGGAATTAAGCAGAGTAATGAATAAATGGCAATTAAAGGATGTGTGGAGATTGGTAAAAGGGAATGAAAGTAGATATACATATTATTCATCAGTACATAAGGTGTATACAAGAATTGATTATATTTTGTCTCCAAAAATATGACAAGTAAAGTGCTAAATGCTGATATAGGTATGATTAAGATTTCGGATCACGCTTTGGTTTCAATTGAGATTGCGTTGAAATGTGATTATGATGAAATGAAAAGGTGGAGGTTAAACACAAGAATACTAAATCATAAAGAGATAGTAGATAAAGTGCAAGCAGAATGGCAAGAAATATGGGGCTTCAACGAAAAGGGGGTGACAAAAGGAGTTCTATGGGACACTATGAAAGCAGTGACCAGAGGGTTATGTATAAAAGAGACAATTAATTTAAAGAGAAGGCAAGAAGAAAGGAAAAGGAATTTAGAAAGAGAAATAGAAGAGATTGAAAAAGCATATGTAATAAAGAGAGATACACGAATTTATGCTAGGTTAAGAGCAAAAAAAGAGGAATTGGATAAAATGGAAATAGACGAAGTACAAGAAAATTTAATTTATTTAAGGAGGGAATATTTTGAGTTTAGTGATAGGAATTCAAAGATCCTAGCCAAATCAACACAGAAAAAGAAAATGGAAGGAACGATAAACATGATAAAAGATAAAACAGGTAAATTATGTAGAGCTATGAAAGAAAAATTGAAAGTATTTGAGGAATTTTATAANAGTTTAGTGATAGGAATTCAAAGATGCTAGCCAAATCAACACAGAAAAAGAAAATAGAAGGAATGATAAATACGATAAAAGATAAAACAGGTAAATTATGTAGCGCTATGAAAGAAAAATTGAAAGTATTTGAAGAATTTTATAAAGAACTATATCAAACCAAAGCAAGCCCCATAGAGGCAATTAGGAAATATGTGGAGGAAAATTGGGAGAGTAAGCTGGAGGAGAAAGATAAAGAGTTACTGGAACAACCTATTAAGAAAAAAGAAATAGAGGAAGTTATTAAGAAATTAAAAGTAGGGAAAGCTCCAGGCCTGGATGGTCTAGGGACAGAATATTATAAAAGCTTTAGAGAAGTTTTAACCTCAAAATTATTAGAATTATATAATGGAATAATGAAGGGAGATAAGATACCTGAATTATGGAGAAGATCATTAATAATATTAATACCTAAACCTGATAAAGGCTTAACAGACCCAGGGTCATATAGGCCCATATCATTAATTAACCAGGATGCAAAGATATTGTCCGCGATAATAGCCAATAGAATGAATAAATGCATGTATAAGTACATAAAAGAAGATCAGTGCGGGTTTGTAAAAGGAAGACAAATGTCAAATTTGATAGGGAGAGTATTAAATAAAATTCATTGGGCTAAAGAGGGGAAGGAAAAAGCAGGGATATTATCATTAGATATTTTTAAAGCGTTCGATTGTGTGGAATGGGAGACATTAAGGGAAACATTGAATAAATTTGGAATGGGAAATAGAATAAAAGGAGTACTAAAACAATTTTATTCAAGGAACTCGGCAGTGGTATCTATAAATGACGGAGTGACAAACGAAATAAAAGTGACTAGAGGAACTAGACAAGGGTGCCCTTTATCTCTGATACTACTTGCTATGGTGATAGAACTGTTTGCTAATAACATAAGGAACGATAGAAATTTAGAAGGGTTAGGAAAAAAGGAGAAGCAGAAGGTGAGCTTATTCGCTGACGATACATTGTTATTTATAGAAAATATAGTGGAGAAAATGGATAGAATAAAAGAACATTTGGAGATATTTGGGAAAGCAACGGGTTTACAGGTTAATTGGAATAAGTCAGAAATGATGCTACTTAATTATACAAGAGAAGAAGAAAAAGATTTTATAGAACAGAGCAAAATGGGAATAAGAATTAAGAACAAATTAAAATACTTGGGAGTAATAATAACTAAGGATTTAAAAGAGATAGAGGAAGTAAATGTAGTAACATTAAGGAAAGAAGTCCAGAAAAAGTTAATAGAGTACGAAGGTATACGCTTATCCTGGTTTGGAAGAATAGCATTAGTAAAAATGAAAATACTTCCAAAAATAAATTTTATATTTAGGATGCTACCACTTCAAATCACAGAAGAAGAACTAACTAGATGGCAACAAATGATTAATAAGTACTGTAATGGAAGTAAAAGAAATAGACTAAATAAACAGTTATGGTACAGATCGCAAAAGGAGGGTGGACTAGCGCTACCTAATATAAAAAAATATTATGAAGCAAGTAGATTAAGTTTGGTTATAGAAGGAATGGTTAAAAAAGAGGGAATAGATTGGCTTAGTAATGATTCAGGAAAAGTGGAAGATGAAATTTGGAATATATTTTTTAAACAGTTTACTAGAAAAGAAATGAGGGAAATTAGAAACCCAATGCTGAGCAACATACTGAAAGTATGGAATAAATATAAGGGGAGGTTAATAAAGGAGGGATCAATTATAACCCCAATAGTGATGGAAAAGAAGTTCCCAAAATTTAAAAAAAGTAATGGATAAAAAGGTAAGGGAAATAAACTTAGATAGGATAGGGGATTGGATGAAGGTGGAAATGAAGAGGGAAATGATGTTGGAAGAGTTTAAAGAAATAAAATTGTCATGGTTTCATTGTATACAATTAGAACAATGGTTAATAAACTGGAAAAAAAATAATAGAAATGGAAGCCAACTCAATCAATTCGAACAAATAATACAGAAGGGAAGGGCTGTAGAAGAACATGAAAACTTGAGAGGTATAATTAGCAAAATTTATAAGATATTAATTGAAATGAAGAATGAAAAAATAAAAAAGTGTACCCTTAAAGAGATTTGGGAAGAAGATTTAGGGATAAAAATAAGTGAAATAGAGTGGCAACAATTATGGGGACAAAGACATTTAAAAAATTTATCGATACGAGTTAAAGAAAATTATTACAAGTTAATATGGAAGTGGTACTTGACACCGGTAAGAATAGCATATATGAATAAAAATAACTCAATAAATTGTTGGAGAGGGTGTCAAGAACCAGGAACATATATACATATGTGGTGGCAATGTAAATAATTTTTGGGAGAAAGTATTTAGAGAAATAGAAACTATAATGAATATAAATAGATAAAAGTCCTAGTATAGCCTTACTATCATTATATAACAATAAGCAATTGAAAAAGGAGGATAAAGAAGCGATAACAAACTTACTAACTATAGCAAGACTGCTCATAGCAAGGAATTGGAAAAAAGAAATGAATATACAAATAGAGGAGTGGTATAAGGAAGCATGGAAAATAGCAATAAATGATAAATTGACATGTATATTAAAGGTTAAAAAAGGTATATGGAAACAAAGTGATTTTGATGCTGTATGGGGAAGATTTGTGGTAAATGGATTAAAAAATAAGGAAGGAAAATTACCGTCACAAGAAGAAATGAAATTTTGGACAGATGAAATGTAAGAATTGTGGCTTGAGACGGGTGGAGGGGAGCACTGTGGTGATAAAAAAGGAAAAAAAGAGAAAAGGGGGGGAAATGTCAAAGCAAAATAATAAAACAACATGTTAAAGAGGCTGATGTACAAAATGCAATAGTATGTAATAAATGTGATAAATCAATAAAAATTATATAAAAAAAGATAAATAGATAGATGGATATTATATATAAAGATAAATAAAGTAAATAATATTATTTATTATTCCAGTCTTTTCTCATTTCTTGCATTACTATATATTTGGGATATGTTGTGTTCAACTTTGAATTAGTTTAAATTGAATATTTGTCTTCTCTGCATTGAATTTAGGTACACCAAGAAAGTGTACATATAATTGAAGTCACAAGCAGCTTGATAAATGAAACAGTAGCCAATCATCCGGAATGGGCCAGGTAATATGAAATTATTTGTGTGTGGATCTTAATGCAAGTGTCTTCAAGTCACCTGTCAATTTTTGGTGATCCTTTTAATTTTATAGGGTTTCTTAGCCAAGGAATGCTCACAAGTGGTTTTGCTTGTTCCTTCCTCTGAAATGAAGCCTACAGTACCTAGTATTCATTGCTGGTCTCCCACCCAAGTACTAGCCAAGTTTCCAAGATCAGATGGAATCCTTTGTTGAGAGGTGTTAGCTGGCCCTGATTGTTTCATGTCAGGAATCCCCCTGTTGTTTAAGTGTTCCTCTTTATTTACAGGCCTGATTTTAGAATTTTTCAATACTGGTAGCCAGATTTTGTTTATTTTCATGGTTTCACCTTTCTGTTGAAATTGTCCACATGCTTGTGGATTTCAGTGGCTTCTCTATGTAGTCTGACATGGTGGTTGTTAGAGTGGTCCAGCATTTCTGTTCTCAAATAATATGCTATGTCCAGGTTGGTTCATCAGGTGCTCTGCTATGGCAGACTTCTCAGGTTGAATTAGTCTGCAGTGCCTTACGGGTTCCTTGATTTGTGTTTGGGCGCTGTGTTTGGTGGTCCCTATGTAGACCTGTCCACAGCTGCATGGTATACAGTAGACTTCTGCAGAGGTGAGGGGATCCCTCTTGTCCTTTGCTAAATGTAGCATTTGTTGGATTTTCTTAAGGGGCCTGTAGATAGTTTGTAGTCTCGTGGCTTGTTCTTGGCCTTTCAGCTCTTCTGATGTCTGTGGTGGACTATCCATTGGCCTGTAGAGTTCAGTTTAAGTGGTTCAATTCAATTTGGAGGAGATGGCATTTGCAGATTCTGAACCACCTGAACCACCTAAACTGGACTCTACAGGCCAATTGATACTCTACCACAGACATCAAAAGAGCTGCAAGACCCAGAACAAGTCACAAGAGTAAAGCCAAAGATGCACCCAGAGGAAAAGTGTTCTTACCATACATCAAGAGAACCACTGACCGCATAGGGAAGCAGATGAAGAAACACAATTTATAATCTATCTACACAAAAACAAAAGAAACAAAATCTGGCTACCAGTATTGAAAAATTCTAGAATCAGGCCTGTAAATAAAGATGAACACTCAAACAACAGGGGAATTCCTGGCATGAAACAATCAGGGCCAGCTAACTCCTCTCAACAAATGATCCCCCAGGCAGGAATCAACCAGTTTTTGAAGCTGCAAGACCATTCAGTGCTAATCAAGGTGGCCAATTGCAGCATTCTCACTTGCCTCAAGCAGACAAGAGTTCTTTCTCCCACCCTGAGCATTCCACAGATATATAAACCTCACTTGCGTAGTTTCCAACAGACCTCACAACATCTGAGGATGCCTGCCATACAGCCTGGAAAACTCACAGCAACCCTATATTGGTAGAATTTTTTTAAAAAATTCCTCTCAAGGCCAAACCGCATAGCACATGATCTTAATCTTGAAGGCAGGGTCTGCAGAAATGATTGACAGTGAATGTGATTTGAGGGAATAATTGGCCCTGAAGCAGTAAGTCTTTGGTTTGGACAAAGTTGTGAGTATTGGAAAAGAGATATATCAATATTTAGCTTTTATTTGAGCAGTGCTAATATATGGAGCGCTGGCTTCAAAGCCAAGTTCCTATACATTTTCTGCACTGTAAATATACACAAACACTGTTACACGGCATCCCACACTTTTGTGCAGTAGACATCTTCAGCTCCTCCATAGCCTCCAGCTCTTTCATTGCACAAGGATTGATTAGTCAATGACCTATTGCATTAGGACCTGCACTTATGCAGCATTTGAGAAATGCAACTATTTTTGCAACTACAATAGACTCCTAGTAAACCAGCAACCATGAGAATTAGTCGAAGTTGGATAAATGTAGTTTCTGGTTACTTGAGAGTTACTAATGAACATAGGCTTAAACTCTGTATTAACTTGATATTAATATTGAAATACCATAATTAAAAGCAACTTTAGACAAATAAAGACAAATTTAACATAACACTGTTTAATTGTATTATATGTGTGTTTTCATTTTTATTTAAAGTATTTTTTCTTCTTTTTTGCTAGTTCCTTGAGTTCCAGTTAACTTGAGAGTCTACCGTAGTGCCTCAACATGTTTCTAATGTAGACATATCAAACAGGCCTGCCTATGGCCTCAACCATCATTTTGTCAGTCATTGTTTTTCCTAACTTGTTATAATGAAGGAAAGCAATAGAAACTCTGTTCACATATTGTTGTAAACTAGAACTGCTGAGAATTTGGCTTATTGTGAATGCAATATGCTACTACATACTTCTCAGTGCTCTTGCTTGGCTCTTCCTTCTAACAGGAGTGTCAAAATAAACCAGGCTTGTCCAAACCAACTACTGTCCAAACCAACTACTGTGGTATGTTTACCTTATGTCTGCTCTGGGCTCTTTCCCCTAACAACTCAGAATCATAATCCACATTTTGGGTTTAAATTGTTAAAAAGGAACTAAGTCAGAAACCTTATTTCAGACAAAGTTGTCTTTGGTAAAACAACAGGAATAAGTTCTCTGGTATCTTTGAAATGTAGTCCAAAAAAGACAGCTTTTCCAACCTCTGATTTGTAAATTTGTTTGGTTCTCAAAATTACAGGTTGCTATGGATTGAGAACAAAACAACTTGGCAGCCACTTCTGTGTAAAATAATGACAATGTTTTTATAGGACTGTTGAGAAAACAATGGCAACCATTGTACTTATTATTCCTATTATTATGTCATACTTCCCTGTTATTTTGAAATTTGTGTTTGTACATTTTTCTGAGAAAGGGGACAATGGCTTTAATCTAATACTTAATAGAATCTGTGGTCAAAAAAGCTGATGGACCACTGCAGTAAACTTATGCTGCTTGGCCTCTACTTATCATTGTCTGACATTATTAGAAAAGCGTGGTTTGCATTCAATTTGGAGAATAGAATCAAAATTATAAAATATTAAACTGCTGAACAAAGAAGGAGAGGTCATACTTTCAGTAGTAGTACTGTACATTCATTATAGACCACATATCTATCTATGATAATCTGACCTTCTTTTAAAAAGTTTGTGTTTGTATTATTATATTAATAATACTGTTACAAAGTAATATTCACAAAGTAATTTCTAAGAGAGCTTTGGGTTTTATCTCTGTGATGGAATATCAGAGCGCCAAATTATAATGACATATTTGGACCTCAAGAGATTTCTGAAAGTTAGACTGTCAACACGAAATAGGGATTTCCTGTTCAGAGAGTGTACAGAAGTTTCACTGGATATTCTCAACTGCTTTTCTGTATTTCATTTATTTAAAGCAGAGCAAAGTATTTGATATGTAACGGGATTTTAAAAAACATGTATTTTGCCAAATTAGCTGGCTTCCTGAAGCTGAAGTTATTCAAAAGGCTCTGAATTCTGCTGCCAGTAATGTGTATCAATATGGTCGAGAATGGATAACACATAAGGTAATATTTGAATAAGACTATTTTGGTAATTGCGCTGTTGTCCTTTTATCTTGCCAAAAATACAAGAAAGAGTAATTGATTCCTTCCACTCCTAACTGTCACTTTCTTTCTCTTTTTTTTTTTCACTTTCTGTACCTCCAGATCGTTGGTGTGCATATCTCTCAGAAATGGGATGGGGGGGAGGAGCTGCAGAGCAATTTGAGACCAGGTTCAGTGGTTAATGCAGTCACCCACCTGGCCTCAAATCAGTTCCAGACCTGTCAGAATAATAAAACAAGTTCCTCCCAAACTGGTTCCAGACCAACCTAAGTGGTCAGTATAGATGTGTCCTTTGCTCCCATAACTCAGCCTAAACAAGATAGGTTAAACAAGATTCCTAACTAACATAGTTTGGCATACCAGCCTTCTACCTACCAAGGAATCGTTTTCTACAAAGCAACAGCAAATGCTACCCATTATCCCTTGTATATATATGAAGCAATAATTCATGTTTTAGCTAAAAGATGATCACAGCATAGTGTATTATGAACATATGACTGAATAGCTAATATACAATTCTAGTACATTGTAATATAGATATAGTGTAAAATACATAGCAGTGTATTTATGTATTGTCGAAGGCTTTCATGGCTGGAATCACTAGGTTCTTGTGGGTTTTTTCGGGCTATAGAGCCATGTTCTAGAGGCATTTCTCCTGACGTTTCGCCTGCATCTATGGCAAGCATCCTCACTACCTCTGAGGATGCTTGCCATAGATGCAGGTGAAACGTCAGGAGAAATGCCTCTAGAACATGGCTCTATAGCCCGAAAAAACCCACAAGAACCTAGTGTATTTATGCATAGCAAAGGTGTTAGGCCCCAAAGGAACATGACAGGACCTAAGGATAAAATGCTGATAATTTGCAATTGTGTTCACTTTTACTTGTTTCCTCTCAACTGTTTTGGTGTAAATCTGCATTTTGTTTTGTAGCTGCATAAAATATTAGGAGAAAAGGCGAACAACACTGCTGTGATTGAAAAGCAAGTGCTGGAGCTGTGGGACAGACTATATCACACATGGTTTGTGAAAGTAAGTTTCTGAAGCGTACGTGTAGTCCATTTAATTCTATTAAAATTATTGCTAATAATCTGAAAATATTTGAGATACTTGCAGTTTCTCAAGTTGCTCCTGACACAAAAAAGTGTTAATAATAATATTGACAATATAGAACATGGGGTTAGGAAATTCTCATGTTCAAATACAGTCAGATTGCTTTCTTTCTCTAATTACTTTGTACTTATATGAATAGAAACAAGAAGGAGATAAATATGCTATGGGTTAATTTTCCATTTCACTCTGGATTCATTTGCATGAAATGATAATGTGTCCCATGTTTCTATGCATACTTTTTTATATTCCAGTCCCCAGAATGTTCTGTGAGCAGCAAGCAAATGTTTATCATTTATTTTCCAGAATGTATCTCACACAGGGAGACACAAAGGACATAAGCACCATTTACAGCGTCAGAACAGCTGGCCAGGTGAAATGCTTGATTGGCAAGATGTTGCTTCCTTTATCCATGAGAATATAGAAACATTTCTTTCGGTATGTCTTTCTCGTCACAAAATCAGTTAAAGAAACCTGTTTGCACCAAAAAAAAATGCATGATTTCTTTCCTTCATATGTATTTGTAGAGCTTGAATTGTTTTTTTAAAAAAACAGTTACTATTAATTCATTGGATAGCGCCCCCAATGTGTCTAAACTCCATAGATTGCCAGATGAATGCTGTACTTGTTACTACTTTTGAATAAATTAGTTATTTTAGGTTGTTAGAATTTTTTGGTGCATTGAAGCTTGTATCTATAACAGGGATAGTGAGGCAGGAAGCCTCAAGAGAAGAAGTATCAGGATTGAATGGAATGTATCACCTAGTTCTGTGGTTAGCTTGTTGTTTTAAGCTGCTGGCTGCCTTTTGGATAGTAGAAACAAGAAAAGGGAAAACAAGAAAAGTGGTAAGAGAAAGAAGTCATGTAAAGGAGAAGTATGCTAGTTATTCAAACTGCCATGTTCTTCAGAATGTTAGACTCTGTGGTTTTAAGAAACTAATTCTTCAGTGCTAATGTAATTAAATTATTTTAAGTATTTATGGTGACAAAGTCATGAATGCTTCCAGTAACATGAATGAATAATTAAATCTGTGTTCCAAGCCATGTAGCAAGGTGAAAGTGAGAACTGTCTCCATAGACTTTGCTTTTTATTTTATTTTATTTTCAAATTAGGATATTGTTAATCATTTTTGTCTGTTGATCTCCATCTTTCCTTATCCCTCTATGCAACAGGAGGACACCAGGCTGGAAAAAGGTGTCCCTCTGCTCTTTGGCACATTTTCTCCTCTCTCAGGTTTTATTTTGTTCTGAACCCTTCTTTCTACCAGATGTTTGCCTCTTTTGCTCTGCTTTTCTTCAAATACCTGTTTTGTCCTCAGCTGTTTTTCTGTGTGGTTTCTACTGTTCAACTCACTGCATCTACTGACATTGTTCCATTCCTTTCCTTGTCTTTTAAGTCCCCTTTCCATGTGGCTTCTCAGTTCTTCATTGCACTCTGTTCCCTAAACTCTGTCCCATTCTGTGCCAGGACTAACAAGTTCCTCTTGTCCCTAACACTGGAAATTTGGCTGTATCCTCTGCCAAAGTTTATTTCACTTTTTGCAATATATATATTTTGCACTTTCTGCAATATATATGTATATGTGCATATATATACACACACACACACACACACTATATATATATATATATATATATATATATATATATATATATAGTTTGAAAAAATAGCTCTTTCCCCATAATTATCCCTAGGGTAGGATAAAATATGTTAGGACAACAGATAATACATAATTAATCTGATATTTATTTCTGGTGACATGGGGTTCTAACATTTCCCAGTCTGTACACACTGAAATGTGTATTCCGTAAAATACTAAATCTCTTTGTTAATTCCTTGACACTTGTGTATTTGAAAGTCTGTTTTTGGTTTTGTTTATCTTTCTGCAGTGTACTGATGTATTGCATTTACCACTTGAACTGCTACAAAAATGCCTCTAGTCTGCTGAGCGTTAATGAATTAGCATGAATTTGGCCATACATAATTTCTCATGACACTTAGTTATACTTAGTTATACTTAAACGCTAAGGTGCGGTGGGCCCTCCAGATGTTATTAAACAGAAATTTTCACATTCTTCATCACTGGCTGTTTGGTCCAAGGCTGATGGAAGTTGCAGTCCAGCAACATCTGGATGCTGCACTTTGTGAATCCCCAAAGAACTTCCAAATTATACATTGCAACTCTTTTCTGGAAATGTTACTGGAAGCATTACATGTGGAGCTCATGATCTCATGGTCATAGTCTCCCAGAGAAAATAATGAGGCTTCATAAGCCTGGTGTTGTAGTACAGCGTGATAGTGATGTTACTACTACTGGTAGAAGGGAGAAGAGGACTGCGCATGTGTTGGAGGAGGAGCAGCAGTGAAAGCGGATTAGAGACATATTCATGGCTCCAACTGATTCAGTCCTTCGAGGGTTTCTCAGATTGTGAAATGGAGGAAGGAGAGGAAAGCAGGGGAGTTAAGCGGGCTTTTATACTGTGTTTGGCATTCTTGAGGCTTCTGGGTCTTGACACCTGCTGTTGCTTGTACTAATTGGAAGGAATAAGGATCTCCTGTGTAGGAATTGTATCACTTTCAACGCACTGTGCATCAAAAGTATTCACTATTTTGCCAAGATAGTGATTCAGACAATTTGTTTTCCAGATTTTAGAATCTCTCTGGATATTGATGAGTCACAATGTAAACCTCCTCTTCAGCACGGTTACAACCTTAGTAACTGTCCTCTTCTACAGTGGCACCGCTCTCCTCAATTTTGTACTCTCTCTGGTGAGCTTCCTTTCCTATCATTTTATGCATTACATCTTTCTAACAAGGATGTGACAACTCAATTCTGGCAGTTTCAGTTCCATTCTAATTTTAAAAGGTGCACGAACTGTAAATGATGGGGCTACAAACAAACATTTCTCTTCAGGGCTTCTTCTGAGATTTCTTAGTTGTTGCTTCTTCATAGTTAGATCACTTATACACTTGCTGCACAATCTGAAGATGATGCACATACTAGATCCATGTGGACATTAATTACATTCAGGCATGTAGCCGGGGGGGGGGGGGCTTGAGGGGCTTCAGCCCCCCCCCCGAAATGAAATCCTGGCTACGGGCCTGATTACATTATTTCCAGTTTAATCACCCTTCCCATTAATCTTAAAATGCAACATTTGGATGTTAAAATATAATATGTTTAAAATGGAATTTAAAATATAATGTGATATTTTCTCTCCTGTCTTTCAGGTGATTTTTTTGACCACGTTATTTTACCTTTTAAGTTCTAGTGATGAATACTACAAGCCAGTGAAGTGGGTCCTCAACTTGACACCTCTATCGCAGCCTGGCTCTTCCTCAAATATAGTCGGCCAGTCTGTGGAGGAGGCCATAAGGTACTCAATTTCTTTCCTTCTAGTTGTGGAAACCTGGTTTCATGATGAGAATTGGGCAGCGTATGTGTGTGACAATACTGAATGATTTGTCTTCATTTATGCTGATACCAAAAGTGTTAAACAATGATTTTAGATTTGAGAATTCTCTATCTCCTGGGCAATGGCGCAGATGTGTAGAAGTCTGCACTGTGGAAGTGCAAGGAACAAATTGTAAAGAGTCATGGGATTAGATTGCTTCATTTTCAGAGGGACCTATTTTTGAACCCTTCTAATGCCAAGATGTTTTCTCTTCTCATATTTGGTCTTGTGCATTTGTGAGCTGTATGTTTCAAAGACACGAACTTTGAATTGAGGCTGTGGGTCTGCAGCTCTTTGAAAAGCTGCAGATAAGATTTAAGATGAGAGAATTCAGAAGAGTCATTTTAATAGTGAAAGAGAATACATGCTTGAAATCTCTGGGGGTGCATCTTAGAGTCCTCTCTTTTTAAAACATACTGTATGTCAGTATTTTAGAAGCCTTCAATCTTTAATCACTCCACAGGAGATTTCTTTATTTTTTTAATAATCTTATTGGAATTTATAATTAAAACTAAAAATATATATAAAAGAAAAAAAGAAAAAAATAGAAGTTGAGACAAAGAGAGAAGAGAGGAGGAATGAGGAGGAGGAGGAGAGAGAAAGGAAAGAAAAACAGGAAAATAGAAATAGATAAATAAAGAAGTAAAATAGTTGTGAAAATTAGATATTGAATTGAACAATCTTGACTTCTGGGTAACTTCCTGAGGTCTTTCTCTTTTGATGTTCTTCTTTTTATCATACTTCTCCCTCCCTTCTTCAATTTTTCATTTTCATATGACCGTTTTCTTTTCTGTCAGATCAAAATCTTCTTATTTCTTTGCTTGAACTATTCAGTTACTTGTCTCCAATCTGTTTCCTCCATTTTCACCCCCTTATTCTTAGACATGAGAAAAGTAAGTCTATCCATATTTCTGATCTCTAATATCTTTGTCATCCACTCATCTTCTTCCGGTAATCTTTTTTCCAGATTTTTGCGTAGCATATCCTCGCTGCTGTAGTAATCAAAAATAGCAATTTATCTGTGTGTTTTTTTTCTTCTATTTTCATCTTGTGTATTCCTAACATAAATGTTTCTGGTCTCCACGGAATCTTTATCTCTAAAAAATTCTGGATCTCATTCTGTATTCTTCTCCAATAACTTTTTGCTCTATTACACGTCCACCACATGTAGAAATAGGAACCTTCTTTTTCTTTACATTTCCAGCAAGCTATATTCACATTTTTATAACATTTCCCGAGTTTTCTTTGGGGTCATATACCACCTATATGCCATCTTTACCCAGCTCTCCTTTAGGTCAGATGCATAGGGGTATCTTAATGTATTCTTCCATATTTCCTCCCACTCATCTTTCCTAATGGATCTTCCTATGTTTTCTTTCCACCTTTTCATATATTCCTTCTCTTCCCTCAATTCTATTGACCATTTTAATAGTCTCTTATAAATTTTTGTTACTGTTTTTCTCTCCGATTCCATTATCTTATCCCAAAAATAGTTTACCTCGGCAAATCCTATTTCCTTATCTTTTTATATCGTTCCTTTATTTGCCAATACTGGTACTATGCAATCCTTTGATTAATTGTATACAATTCTTGTTATGATTTTATTATCAACTCTCCTCAATCCTTCTTCAATATCTCTTTATAATTAGGCTAATCATTCCAACCCAGCACCCTTCTTTGCCCTGCTTCCAACGGAGATAGCCATAGAGGTGTTTTCCCATATAGTTTCTTTTTATATTTTTCCCATATTTTAATGATGGCTGGTCTTACAAAGTGAGTGCAATTTTTTTTCCATTTTTGCCCCCTCATACCAAATATATTCGTGCCAGGGAGTTGGACTGGATGGCCCATGAAGTCTTTTCGAACTCTATGATTCTATGATCTCGCTCTTAACTCCACACTTTCCAAATTTATTATCTTTATTTTTTCCAATTTTGCCCAGTCTCTAATCCATAGTAGAGCACTTGCTTCAAAGTACAACCTTAAGTCCAGTGTTGCTAGACCTCCTCTTTCTTTTCATTCTATCATATTTTTGAAATGAATTCTTGGTTTTTTCTTTTCCCAAATAAATTCATACTATCCCTATTCTAGTCTTTCAGTAGACTAGATTTTGATTTCTTATGCTGGGCAAGTTCTGAAATAAGAAGATCATTTTTGGTAATATCTACATTTTCACACTTGCAATTCTACCGAATAGTGACAGGTTTGAGTTTCTCCATCTTTCTAATTATTTTTTAATATCCTTCCATTTTTTGATGTAATTATTTTGTAGTAATTGCAGAATTTTAGGTGTTAAGATGGTCACTAAGTATTTTAATTTTGATACAATTTGAATATGCCACTTTTCTTTTATTATGTCTTGTTCTTTTTTTCTATGTTCTTTGTTATTGCTTTTGTTTTTTCCATGTTTATTTTAAATCCTGATACTTCACCAATTTTTATTATATTTATCCACTCTCCTTTAAACACTGTATAATTTTGAAGCAGATAAGAATTAGAAGTCAAGGGGAAGTTGTCCAACAAATATAGTTAAAGGGCTACTCTTCCCCCTGCTGTGGCCAACCTCCCCTCACAGGTACAGAATATGCGTATCCCCTAACATGAATATAGGGTTACACAATGGCAGATTGTATTCCTAAGGATGTCAGCATCAATAGCTTTATCCTTTCCCCAACATTGGCAGCTGTGAAACTTTATTTGAAGGCTTTGCCTTTGGCAAATCTAAGCGAGGTCTTCTTTAACCTGTGCAAAGCACAGTACTTTGGGTTACAGTACATATGAGAAAGCAAAATATGTGCCAGACACAGAATTTTGAATTAAATAGAATACTTAAATAGAATAGAAATACTTAAACAGAATATTATATTCGGCCTTCAACATCTGAGACATCTTGTGATTTCTCTTATGTGTGTTCCCCCCAAAAAATACTATGCTTTGCCCAGGCTCAAACAGACCTTACTTTGAATAACATACATAATGGATTTATAGTCAGCAGTTTGTCAAGAACTTAGCAATTATAGACCACATTATTACCCATCCCAAACCTTTGCAATCTTTTTTTTAAAAAAAAACTTTATTAAAAAGTTTTAAATTAGATTAAAAGTCAAAAAAGTGAATTAAGAAAAGAAATACAGAACGAAAACAGAAAAAATGCCAAAAAAGAGAAAGGAAACAAAAAGAAACATTAACAATAGATGACCTGGCCAAAGGAAAACAACATAGGCTTCACCCTCTAGGCTTCCCAATGTGAAATCCTTTATCGAACAAACTCCTTCCTTCACAAATTATTCTTCAAAACTCTTCCTTGTGCAAAAAAGTGAATAAGTTTCCTGTCTTTCAAAAAATGTTCCAATGTCGCTTCTTTTAGTAAACATGTTAATTTCTCCATCATTTTTATCATCTAATCCTCTGTTGTTGGAGTTGCTAAGTTCTTCCATTTCTGTGCATAGAGCAGTTTAGCTGCTGTGATCATTGCAATAATTTATCATAGTCATTTGTATCAGTCAGACCAAGTAGAACAGTCTCAGGTTTCAACTGGATATTTTCCCTCAAAACTTTCTGGATCACTTAATATATTTGAATCCAATATTTATTGGCATGTCCACCATATATGATAGAATGACCCCATTTGCTGTTTACATTTCCAGCAAGTGTTGGAAACCTTTTTAGACATCTTAGGAAGCTTTTCAGGAGTCATATACTATCAATGCATCATTTAATAAAATTATCTTTCAAATTATAATGTGAATTTTAACCCCATGTTCCACATTATATTATGCCTAACATTTTGAGCCCACGTTGGCATGCATTATTTAGCTAGGTCATGTGCCATTACTAGGGCTGGGCGGTTTCGTTTCGTTAATTCGTAATTCATTAAAAATTTGGTTTTTTTTATAACGAAGCGATAACGAACCATTCTGGAGCAACTTAAAAACGAAACGAATTTTTAAATTCGTTTCGTAAATGCTTCAGATTTGTTATGTATTCGTTTCGTTATCGGTTTGAGGTCATTTCGTTATTATTTCCGCATGTCTGGGGCAAGTTTTATAGTTGTTTTTTGTTTAATTAGTGAAAAAAAATTATAATATCACACCAACAGTCAACAACAGAGGGAGAGGGAAGCTTCAGAAGTTCCCCCTGTTCCATTTGGAGGTTTTTTAGCGTATTGCGCGGTCGCGTCCGCCATTAACGAATCGATTTGTTATTGTTTCGTATTTGTTTCGTTAATGTTTCGTAATTTTTTTAACATTTACAAAATTTCGTAAATATCGAACTTTTTAAAAGAAAAATTTCGGAATTCTTTTAAATATCGAAATGCAAAAACCCCCAAAAAACGAATCGATTTTAGGAACAAATTTTTCCGTTGTTACCCAGGCCTAGCCATTACCCATTTCAATAACATCTTGTACATTTTAGCAATTAAATGTTCATCATTAGCACATAATTGCAACTCAAATTCCAATTTACTCAATTCAAAACCAATGTGCTTGTCTTACCTGAATCTCTCCATTAACTGTAAAATAACTGTAAATAAGGCAACTCCTGAAAACCAAAGTCCTCTGCAATCATTTGTTCTCTTGTTTTAATCCTATATTCTCCTTATTTTCTTCCTAAATCTTGATGTTAACCAATTCTTCTTGTCTTGTTTCTCTTTTCTATAAAATGCTTCTTGTACAGCTACCCACATTAGCATCTTCAGGATTAATTTATATCTCTCTCATATTCATAATAGAGCATGTCTAAAATAATGATTTTTAAAGTCCACATTCACTTTCACTTTGTCATACCCCATATAATAGAGTTAGGTTTTCCCCTGACATTAAGTCCAATCGTGTCTGACTCTAGGAATTGGTTTTAATCTCAATTTCTATGCCAAAGATTCGACGTTGTCTGTAGACGCCTCCAAGGTCATATGGCCAGCA